CCGGCTGGCTCCCAAGTTGGCCACACCTAGCAGGAACTCATTAGCATAACAGGCCACACCCAACAGCAGAAACCTATTACGATTGGCTACATTAGGGGTGTGTGGCCTAACATTCAAAGGAGTCCCTGCTACAAAAAAGCCCCTGGGTTTTGACAACAAATAAGGTAAACAGAATAACAAGCAAAAGGTGGGTGTGGCTGGATGACCACACTTCTGGTAAAATGGGGGTGTGGCCTAATGTGGTAATGAGCTGTGCTGTCGGGTGTGGTCTAATATCCTAATGAGTTTCTGCTGTTGGGTGTGGCCTATTATGCTAATGAGTTCCTGCTGGGCTTTTTCTACAAAAAGAGCCCTGGAAAAAGTCAAAAATATATAAGGCCCCAGTGAAAGCCTCATTACAGAATACAAGTGACCCGAACACAAGGGCCAGTACGAGTGACCTGATGCATTTCCGCCCCTTGAGGGCCTTATTCAGAGGCCAAACAATTTGAGGTACAGATAGACTCATGTTACAGTGTTATCGTTCGTTATTTCATTGTAATATATAAGTTGATATTGGACCCAAAAAAGGAAAGTTCAGCAGCAAGGTTAGTAGACACAAGACGAGGCTGTTTGTGAGGCCTCTTAAGATGAGAGTCATGTGTCAGCTGCCAAACGCACGACTGCTGAATTAGAACATCTTCCAGTTCTGGTCCGGAAGTGTGACTGTCGAGTCAGAGCTGGGGTGTCCTCAACAAGTAGCAGTGATTGACCAGGCATTTGTATTCCTTGGAGCAATGAGTACCCGTGTTTGTCCCGATCCGGCTCGTAGAGGCCCGATTTGGCCCCAGATAGGGTACCTTCTATACCCATAATGCCATATGGATTCTGAAAAGCACCTGGGAAGGAAGAGGCAGCATACCCACACCTTGTCCTGGTTCTTCGTGCTGCGATCTCTCTGATCTCTCTGAAAGCTGGGTAGATGTAGGCTTGGGGGTCCGTCTCCAGATGTTTCCCCCCTACAGTGTAGAAATCCAGGTGTGACTGAGGCCCAGTTCAGATGCACAAGAATGAGATGTTGTAGGATGCACTCCAATTACCTGAACGGCGAGTGGAGGGATCCGAGTTTGGAGTCTTCCCTATATTTTAAGTAGGCTCCCCGCAAGCATACCAAGCAAAGAGAAGGGGCCAGGTCCTTTCTCCCTGCTGTGCTAGTTTTCAGTTTGCAAGGAGTTCTTCACGTGGAGGAATGTTCAAAAGCTGTAATCTACCCTGTGCTGCCTGCAGGAAACCAGGCTTACGCCTTAAACAAAATCAGTGTGCCGCTTCAGAAAAATACTGTCATGCAAGTTTCACTCTGATTCAAATTCTCCTTCTACCTATGCCTTTCCCTCATGGCCGTAGATACACTTATACACCAGTGCTTCATTTTAGTTCTAAGCCTCTTCTTAACTTGGGAGGCGGAAGGAGTTGTTCAAGAGCTCCTCTTTAAGTTGAATCTGCTTGGAAAGCTTCAATCACTGCCTATCACATGCCAGTGGGAAATAACTCCCCAAGGGCACTGCAGGAAGAGTAAGTTAAGCCCCAAATTCGTTGCGTGTCAGGTCCTGCTGTCCTGCAGTTTCATTTTGTTACCAGGTAGCTCACTACACTGAACTAGTCCTTGCCCTGTTGCAGAACCAGTTGTTGTTGGCCAAGGCCCTGTTTGAAAATGTAGCTTACAAAAAGAACAACCCAATCAGGAACTGAATGATTGGGCTATAAAACTAGACCAAACAGGGACAAAGTTTCTCCAACTGTACTGTCGGCTGCTGAGCACACCTTGGCTTGCAACAGGCCCAACCCCATGTAGAAATCAGTCAGAACCTCGCAAAGGTGCTGTGGCACTCCCGATTCCCCTGCCTCCTGCTTCTGGGGGGGAGGGTGTCAGTCGGCCCGCACCTGCGATCTCAACTCCTATTGGGTTAGACGGGTGTCACCATGGTTTTGAGAGCTGTTACCTGCCGAAGGAGTGCCTTCTGGTTTGTGGGGCCTTTGGGCTGGATCCAGGAGCCCCTTGCATTAGGTGAGAGATCCACTGTTGGCTGATCAGTAGGATCTGGCCCATGGGGTGGGGGTGGGGGTGTCTCTTCTCAGATAGTAGCTAAGCAACCAAATTCTGGTTTGGGAAGCAGTTTTGAAACCTTGAAATTAAATTCCTCAGTGTTTTTTGTTGCTTTAAATTCAGTGGCTCCCAGAACATTCTCTAGCCCTTTAGTATTCTCCCCCCCCCCCGCCTCCATAAACCCTGGATTATTTGCAGTTCTTTATCCGTATGGGTTCTAGAATGTGGCAGAAAGTTCAGGAAGTTGGAAGCATCAAAGCTGAAACAGATACCCGCACAGTTAGATAACACACCAGGTATTTTTTAAAAAAATCACTTCTCACAAAGATTCCCGAAGCAATTCACAAAAGGAAGTCAATAAAAGCCCTAACGCGATTTGCTAAATATAGAACTTTAAAAAAAAAGACTGCTCGCAACATTCCGTCAACGATGATCATCTAACAACTGTGAAGGCATAACAAAATCCTAAAAAAAGACCATATAGGAGCAGAGCAGTCCAGCGATCAAACAGTTGGAGAAAATCAAAATGGCAGGGATGAAATGGAGTGAATCTCCTCAAAAGGCCGGAGGAAATTGGAGTCTCTTAACTTAGCACCAAAACGAAAATAGATGGGTGGATGGACAGGGTTTGGGCTGGATCACTTAGATGATGGATGGATCTGGGTGGATAATTGGGGATATTAGAGAAGGGACTCTGCGTCTCCTCCATGAATGGAGGAAGGTATAGCAGGGCTTTTAGGGGTCTGTGCTCCAATAGGTACCTGCCCCTCTGCTAAGCACCGTAGTCCAGAGTCATTTAGGCCTTTTAAACCATCGCTCTGAATTAAGCCCACCCATAAGGCAACCAGTATACTGTTTGCCTTAATACTGGTAAGATGCTCCCTAGATGAGGTGTTAGCTAGCAGACCAGAGGCCACACCGTGTACCTTTTGGAGCTCCCAACACTGTTTTTGAAGGCATGCCCACGCACAGTGTGTTATAATTAACCTGGACGGTACTGGCAGTCTTAACAGTGGCCAGATCCATCTTTGGGAGAGCAGGCTGCAGCTGGTAGAAGGGGCTACAAAGGAGCACTCCTGTGTGGCTCGAATGGCACCCTGTTTTGCAGGGAGCTCAGCTTAATCGAGCTTCTAGAAGCTCTTGCCTGAATACCATTTTGGGGGCGGAGAATCTCAGTGTCTTTGTTACCCCTCTCAAAGTACTTAGCAAGGCAGTGCATAACAAAAGCAAAGGAGGCAGCAGCACATAGGTTTCCTAGGGACCTGTTCAAAGTGGCATATAAAACCAAGAAGGAACACAGAGCAGTTGCAAGCAGTTCTGCATAACAAAAGCAAAAGGAGGCAGCAGCACATAGGTTTCCTAGAGACCTGTTCAAAGTGGCATATAAAACCAAGAAGGAACACAGAGCAGTTGCAAGCAGTTCTGCATAACGAAAGCAAAGGAGGCAGCAGCACATAGGTTTCCTAGAGACCTGTTCAAAGTGGCATATAAAGCCAAGAAGGAACACAGAGCAGTTTGCAGGGTGAAAGGGCCAGGACAAGGGAAGAAAAACAGCCGGTGTATCCAGAAATGTGTCAGAGGCACTCAGGCTCTTTCAGAACACGCAAGGTTCCCCATAAACCATTCCTGTTCAGGAGTTCTCGTTCACGTATTCTCCAGAAAGTCTCTTTGCGTTTGTTCTGTCTCATAATCTGGGACGGTTTCCCCCCCCAAGCCCAAGAAGCCACAGAAAGTAGGGATCTGTTTCTTCCTAGCATGAGCCCAGTAATAGTTTCCAGCGGTGGTGGGATACATCCCCCATCCCCTCCCCCAAAGCCACAATAAATGCCACTCATAGCAGTTTGACCTCTGGAAATGGAACTCAGCTGGCCGCTTTCCCACCGTCTGGCAAATGGGACCGAGAGTTCCATTGTGGTCAGCCTTCGAATGTCCCTCAAGCTCCAAACGGAGCCCGCTCCGTACCACGTGGGGCTGATCTCTCCCTTTCCTCCTCCCCGTGTCTCTCTCTCTCGATCCTCTGTCACTTCTGTGCCTGATGTGCGGACCGCACGCCCTCTCCGTTCCCTTTTTCCAGACGAGCTGTATGCCCAGAAACTGAAGTACAAAGCCATTAGCGAGGAGTTGGACCACGCCCTCAATGACATGACTTCCATGTAAATAACAGTGCCGGAGCGGGGGCAGGGGCAGGGGGGGAAGCTTGTGTGTTGCTCTCCGCTTGAGCGTGTCTTTGTGTGCCGTGGCAAGGGGGGGTACGTGGGGGGGAGTCATCCCTGTGTGACCGCGTGGGTGCTGTGCCGATGGTCGGGGCCGGGCGAGGCTACGCTGCTGACTTCCTGGTTCAGTTCCCCCCCGCTGCCTTTTGGGTCGGCGTTTCTTATTGGCGCAAAAGGAGACTTGGCAGTGCGCAGTGAGCTTCATCAAGGAAGGTTCCCCCCCCCCCAGTGCATTTTGATAGGCGCAGCCCGTACCTGCTGATCAGAGAGGCTCCGCTTTTACTTTTCACTGGTCACGTGGCTGTTAGTTTTTTACACTGCTTCTATCCAAGCCTTCCTCCCCCGATGGGGGAGGGCCCAAAGGGGCTTACGTTGTTCTCCTCCTCTGTGTTGTCCTCACAACGGCCCTGTGAGGTAGGTCAGGGCGAGGGTGTGCGACTGGCCTGGGGTCACCCGGCAAGCTTGCATGGCAGGAGCTGGGCTTTCCAGATCCCCGTCTGGCACTTCGGCCACTGCACCGCGCTGCCGTGAACAAGGTTGCCCTGAGAGGTGGTCACTAAAATGGAAACGCTTTCACCCTGACCTGGATAGTCCGGGCAAGCCCGATCTCGTCGGGTCTCGGAAGCTGAGCAGGGTCGGCCCCAATCAGTACTTGGGAAGGAGGCCTCTAAGGAACACCACGGCTCAGGACACGGAGGCAGGCGATGGCAAGCCACCTCTCCGAAGTGTCCCAAGCCCGACTAGGGTCTGCCAGAAGTTACCATGAGTTCCAGGCGTGCAAGCTGCGCACAAACCCACAAAAAGAAAAAATGGAAATGCTTCCAAGCAAGGGTTTTGGTATACACTGAGATTAGGAGACGGGGTTTTAGACAGGGTCCTTTACTTAGCCCCACCGATCTCAGTGTGTCCCTCTGGTGCAAAGCTCTATCCATTGGTGCCCTTGCACCAGTGCACCTTGCGGTGGAGGAACACGCACCAGCAGAGCCAGAAGTGCAGGTCTGACCAAACTCGCTTGTCGTATTCACTTTCCGGGTAGCCCCTGTTGTCACTGAGACAAGCTTCTATCCCTTTACAGCTGTGATCCACAGCCTGTGACGTTGGGCTTCTAAGTCCTGTGGGCAGTGCTGGGTAACCTCTGCAGCCAGGTGGGTTGGCTGAGTAGGATCCAGAAGTTTAAAAGGTGGGGCCCACAGCCAGTGTTCCCTCTAAGCTGAGTTAGTGTGAGCTAGGTCACAGTTTTTTTAGCCTCCGGCTCACAGATTTTTGTCTTGGCTCAGGAAGGGAGGGTTCCAGAGCAAACTAGTTTATTGCAGCAGCCAAATCGCTCGCTCACAACTTTAATGCCAGTAGCTCACAAATTAGTTTTTTTTGTTCACAAGACTCCACAGCGTAGAGGGAGCATTACACACAGTTCCTTTCCCCTCCCCCACGACTAGCAGAAACAGGGTAAATCATACGAGCCACGTTGGCTGAGGCATGAAAGGTACTGTGTATAAATTACTGAACTGTTTAAGGCTCAGAATACAAACCTTTGAGCGCACACACTTTTCCAATATTTATAGTGAGGACACATGGCCCAATTTAAACACTGTCTGGCTCAGCTGTTGAGGCGTTCTCTCTCCTCCCCACATCACTCCCAATATCTGTTTACCTGTGAGGGTTCGGTGGGACTGCTTCTGAATGTAGGAGGATTTGTGTTACTGACAGTCCATCTCACTGCGACTCGAAGGCAAATTACATAGAGCGAGCCAATACAGTCAACAAAGTAGACCATTCGATAAAACAGTGCCTTAGGGCTGTAGAAGCCTGGAACCAACCAGAAATAGAGCCGATAGAACTGAAGCAGAACCTAAGTATTAACATGACACATTAAGCCAGGGGTGTCAAACATGAGGGCCGGGACTGGCCCGTCCAGGGCGCTTATGTGTCCCGCGAGTACCTAGTGCAAGGGAGGGTCCAGGGAGACTGCTGGGGGAGGAGTGGGCGGAGCCATTCCAATTGTGGCTTCAGCATGGCGGAACAACTTTGTCTGCAGCAGTCAAGCAGCATGGGAGCGTCTGCCCAGTGCTGCGCTGCAGGCTCTGCAGTCCGCCCATGTGGATTTTCTTCTGCACCCCCCTCCCCCCCGGACCATGAGGCCTTGCAACGAAGCTACACCAACTCGGAGCTTACCAGCTGCTGTCCTTTATACAGTTTATATCTCCAGTACCTGGCATTTCATTTTCTGGCACATGTGGCCTGGCCCGAGAAAGTCACATTTATGTCAGACCCGGCCCTTGGAACAAATTGAGTTCGACACCTCTGCATTAAGCGGTGCAAAAATGACATCCTCGCTTACAGTAAGGATCACAGCCACATGACAGGAGTTCAGGTCAGCATGAAGTTTGTGGGCCAGCAAACACCCCCCCCCCCCCCCAGAGAGGCTGCCCAGCCAAAAATACATTGGGGCTTTGATAACCACACGTCGTAATGTGCTGCGCACCTAATAGTCTTCCTCTTGTGTTGGAATTGGGGGGGGGGGGAGTTTCCTTCCACGTCTTCTCTCCTGAACTCTGTTGCCACTGCTGCGTGCCCGTTAGCGGTGTCTTGGGTTTCGGTTTGAATGTTTGGCCACTCCAGGCTAACATACCAGGTCAGATCTCTTCTGCCGTCACTCTCTCCATTTGGTGTCCTCCAAGGTAGTTTTTGCTGAGACTTGAGGATCTGAGCTGTGCCATGTATATGTTTGTAGGAGGTGGCTAGGTAGAGGGCTATGGGGGGGGGGGACTCGCTTGTGTCTGACCTTGAAGTGTTTGGCTTGACATAACCAGCTGCTCCCCGGCCTTGTGTTTGGTTTGCGGATTTGATATTAACCCTTCTTCTAACCACAGAATGCCCCTCTTCCAGTCTCCCGGCTTGCTTTTTTTTCCTCTGAGGCTTTCTGTGCCTGAGCCCTCTGGGCTTTTCTTAAATCTCGTTATCTTTTTTCTTCTTCTTTCATACAGATAAGATTTGTGATTCCAAAATACCACTTAATGGCTTGGCCTCCGCACCTTCTCTCTCTCTCTTTTCCACTTTGTCTACCCTTCCCGTTGGCTGAAGTTCCTGTGCTCCAGGGCCGCACGCGCACCTCTCTCTGGGTAGCCCTGGGAACACACATCCTCCATGTCCCGGGGGTGTGTGTGTGCGTGTGACCTCACCAGTAGCCGGAGTCCTCTCCGCCCCTCCTCTTCCAGCCGCCCTGTGCTGTGTCTGAAACAAAGCAGTCTTTGTGACTTCCAGCGTGCCGGAGTCTACTGGGCGTGGAGGTGCTGCTCTGACCATACAGCTGTTGGGGGGGGGCTGGGAGGGTGCCGGATTCCTGTCCGCATAGCCGGCAGGACCTCAACGTCTCCCCAGCCCGCCGTCTCCCAGGGCGGGACGTTGGCACTGTGCAGCAAGAGGTGGCAGCGAGGGACACGCGGCTGGGATTGGGTGTGTCCCAGCACCGCACTGATGTAGCGTCTCTCGCACCGTGTCGCTTTTACCAACCAGTCTGTAACCGTCGGTGGAATGTAATATAGACACTCTGCACTAAAAACGGCAGCCCTGGCTTTGGATTTTTTTCCACCCCACCCACCTCCACGCGGCGTGTTTGTTATCAGGCTCTCGTTCCTGACTCTTGTGGGCAGGCGCGCCAAGTTGATGAAGCATGGGTAACAGTGGGTGGTTCTACACACATGTGCGGGGTGGGGGGAAATCCCCTCTCTGGACTTGCCACGCAGGTGCCGTGCCAAATGCAATTCGGGGGGGTCAACAAACGGGTCGTAGCTCAGTGGGCAGAGCACACGGGCCATGGCTCAGTGGCAGAGCCTCAGCTTGGCATGCAGGAAGTCCCTGGTTCAATCCCCAGCATCCTCAGTTAAAGGGATCAGGTGGTAGGTGACGTGAAAGACTTCAGCTCGAGACTCAGGAGGGTCGCTGCCAGTGTGAGTGGACAGCACTGACCTTAGAATCATAGAGTTGGAAGGGACCTCCAGGGTCATCTAGTCCATCCCCCCTGCTCAGTGCAGGAAATTCACACAAAAAAACCCCATACACACCCCCAGTGACCCCTTCTGCATGGCCAGATGATGACAAAAAACCTCCAGGATCTCCAGCCAAACTAAATGGGACCAAGGCATAAGGCAGCTCCGTATGTGTTCGCACTGGAAAGAAGGGTCACGAACAATGTTCCCTCTAAGCTGTGGAGTCTTGTGAGCAAAACTTCAACTTTGTGAGCTCCTGACGTTAAAGCTGTGAGCAAGTAATTTGGCTACTGCATAAATTAGTTTGCTCTGGAGCCCTCCTTCCTGAGTAGAGACAAAAGTCGAGTAGATACGTTCCTAGAGGGAACACTGGTCACGAACAGTGTCGCAGACAAGGGACCAAGGAGGGTGGCTGTTGGTGGCCCAGCAGCCAAACAGCATTTCCGCATTTGCAGCAGGCCCACCTCTGAATGCCCGAAGCTTTGGGGCTCCATGGGGAAGTTCTGTGTAAGGGCTCTTTTGGGAAGTGGGACGCTGGGCTCGGTGAGTACCAGTTCCGTCCCAACTGGGCAGCTCACTTTGGAAAATAGGTATGCTTGGTTCTTGTGGGCCTTTCTGACACGCCCAGGGAAATGCCGATCGCCACTTTGGGGTCCAGGAAGCAATTTTTTTTCCAGGCCAGTTTGCCCAGGATCCTGGAGAGGTTTTGGGGTTTTTTTTTGCTATCTTCTGGCCATGGAGCAGGGGTCACTGGGAGTGTGGGGGGGGAGGTAGTTGTGAATTTCCTCCATTGTGCAGGGGGTTGGACTAGATGACCCCGGAGGTCCCCTCCAGCTCTATGATTCCCTGAAACATGGGGTGACCATACTGGAAACATGCGCACAGGCATGGGACAAAGAGTGACTTGGGAGGGGAGACAGACATTTACACTGACAATAATAATAACTGGATACAAAAGCAAGCCAAACCACACTATATTGGATCCCACTGAAGGTCCTTTCCCTCCTCGAACGCTGTCCTTCCCAGCCCCCCACCACCACCAAACTCCAGGAATCTCCCACTCCAGAACTGGCAATCTTGGTGAACAGTCTTAATGATCATGAATATAGACCCTGTACTGTAAATTAAAACGTAACGGCCTTGCAGCCCTCCATTGTGTCCTCTGCACAGTATGAAGCTAGATCTTGCAGAGCTATTCCACCAGCTTTCCATCTGTTCAGCACGTTTCCCTGGATGCGGGTGGGTGGGCAGGCCTTTTGCATCAGGGCAAAGCTTTTTGTGCTGGGAAGGGGGGGTGGGGGAGAGGTGCTGTTTGCAACCTAGCTCTGCAGGAGTCAGCCCTCGAGGAGGTAGTCTAGGTTTCAGAGAAATTAACTCGCTCTAAGGTAGGCTTGCCATTTGCCTGTCTGTGGTGGGCAAAACCCCCCCACTGCCCTTGAAAAATTAGGGAGCAGGAAGGGGGGGGGGAATGGCACCGACAATGCCGCTCTAGGAATTTCCTCCTGTGTCTATGGTGTTTACCATAGAGATGAGGGAAAATTCTTAGCGTGCCAGCCTGGAAGTGACATCACAAGCTCCGTGGGCACCACACTCCGAATCTGCTGTCATTGGTTAAAGCTACTGGCAACCCTACCCTGTGTAGTCTGGTGGTTGTCTTGACATAAGAGGGCAGGAAGCTTTACAGTAGTCTCCTTCATCTGAACTTTGGGTGCATCACAGCGGCTTTTGAGCTTCCTGTGAACTACCTTGATTCCATCACCAGAGATGCATACTGATACGTTAATCCCACCTCAAAACCTGTTATGTGTCAGTCATGGGCCTTAAAAGGGAGTAAGTGCTTCGAACATGAGCCCCGGTGCTTTCCCCACTGTCGGATAACCGTGTTTTGCCAAATGTGAGCTTGGCATGGCCTCACACAGCGCCACCGATGCCAGTAGCTTGGTGCTAGGAGAGAAAACTAAGCCATTGCGCTCTTTCCACCACACTGAGGCTGTGTGCATACCGCGTGCATTTGTACATCAGCAGTTGCAATCGGAAAGTAACATGCCCAGAAGAGGCTGTTTACTCCATGGTTGAAGGTAATGCAAGAAAGGTCAGGGGGGGGGGGAGATATATACAGGGGCAGATACAGCTCCCTACACACATGACTGCAGTGGCCCAATAGTATTGACCTCTGTCTTGGTTCATCTTTGGGGTGGTGTCGCCAAGTGAAACTTCTCCACCGGACGATACGCCTGTCTGATTCATGTCTGGGCCCTGCATATGTCCAGCAGTCACGATTGGTCTGGCCCTCCTTTGTGTTCAGTGTCTTGCCCCTGCTACCCTTCCAGGGGATTAAATCCTGTCGACTGCACCCCATCTTCTTCAGTCACACCCACAGGAGAGGTTGGCTCCGTACACACCCTTGACGCGTACGGGCAGTCGGGTTCCAGAGAGGAAGATGGTAAATGATTCCGTCCCTGACATTGCGGGTCTGGATTCTGAAACGCTGAACCTTTGGCAGGTTGGGTTTGGAGACCGTTCAACACAGCAGTGACCACGGCGGGGGAGGGTGGGTGGGGAGACCTGACAACTTTGTCACCTTGGAAGGAGAGGGTTAAACTCTAGTCATAACTATTTTTACTAGCCCACACGTCTGCACATTCCTTACACCAGGGGCTCCCTAGTGTGCTGCCTGGGGGGGGGGTGACATGGTGCCGGACAAGACTGGTGCCCCCTTGTCAAGAGAAAGTGCTATAAAGTGGGCGGGGCCACCCCAGCGAGGCTTTTGATTGGCCCCTGGAGCGTTGATGGCCTGTGCAGGTTTTTTAATGCTGCTTTGGCAGCAGCTGCCACCGCGGCACAAGAGTCTTCACCGTGTGACTGCAGGTAAGCTGTGGCCACTGTTCCCTCTAAGCCATGAGCAGCCGCTCGTGCATGAGCAGCCGCTCGTTAACACAGGAAGCTCTACAGCAGTCTGGAGCCATGCAGGCTGTTGCGCTGCCCATTTTGAGATTGCAGCAGTTAAATTCTGCTCGGGATGTGAACTGCTCCACTCAGTAGGCGGGGGGCGGGAAATTTAGAGGGAGCACTGGCTCTGGCAGCCATTTTGTGATTGGCTTCGCCTCTTATGGCAGCCATTTTGTGGTCGCATCTACAGTACCGTGTCAGAATTCCTTTGGGCCCACAGGTTGGAAAAAGTTGTCAGGGCCCTTGCCCTACACTATCCATAGCTTAAAAGAGACGTAGGGAAGGCCGTTGTAAGGCGCTCTGAGACTCCTTAGGGTAGAGAAAAGCGGACTCTAATCTGGAGAACCGGGTTTGATTCCCCACTCCTCCACATGCAGCTGCTGGAGTGGTCTTGGGTCAGTCACATCTCTCTCAGAGCTGTTCTCTCACAGCTCCCTCAGCCCTGTAAGACAGAAACTCCATCACGGGTGTGCTTCCCCAGCCCAATTTGAGAAAGCACTCGGCAGTCTTGTAGAGGAGAATCAGATCAACAAAGGAGGGAGGTGCAGATCCAATAAGGTTTTGGACCCCACAGCTCTCCCTAAGGTTCCAGTGGGAGACATAGGGTTTTATAACCCCTATGACAGTTAGAAATAAATCACAATTATTGGTTCCATCAAAGTTTGTCACATATCCGTCACATCATTCTGATTGGGTCCAGCCTGTGGGTTGGACTTTCTCAGGCAAAACTATACCTCCTTCAGTTGAACAATGGGCTTTCTTCTTTCCATTCTGTGAGATTCTAAAAAGTATCTAATTGTAACAAATACTAGTTCATCATGCAGCCTTCTTCATCTAACGCAAGCAAACTGACATCAGGAGCATGCGCAGTTACAACTGGCCACTATAAGCAAGGTCAGTTAGTTACTGCCTGTCAGCATTTAGTATTTTTACCCATAATGCATTTAAGCAATGAACCAAAGTGAATATCTGAATATATGTTCATGATTGATTTCAGCTATTGTGATTAGAATCATCAAAGGCACTTAACATTTGCACCATGGAAGCGTTAAGAGCACCTACTAAGTTAAACTGACAGCCAGTGGCAGAGTACAAAGTGTTTCATAAGCAGTGTGTACAACAGCCCCACCTACCTCACAGGGTGTCTGTTGTGGGGAAAGGGGATTGTAAGCCGCTCTGTGTGGAGGATGGGGTATAAATCCCATCTCTTCAATGTAAGTCAGTAAGGGCACGGAGGGTCCATTTCGCTGACCATGAGTTAGTCTCCAGGAGACAGGCCAATAATTTTAAAAGTACATTCATGGCCTCAAAAATCAATGAATGCTCTAATACGAAATTGATCTGATTCGAATACAAAATTGATCTTCCTCCCAAAAAGGCTGAACAACTGGAGAGGCCCGAAGCATATGCTTAAGAGGCACATCATGTGAGTTACATATTCTGCTGGGCTTGGGGCAGAGCATTTCCGGGTCTGCCACGAGCACACAAAAGAGGGATTCCGGTGTCTTGCTGGCATCAAAAATGGGTTCTGTGGCTTTCCCACACCACACTTCCTGCGGGGAGGGGGCTGGGCCGAACCCTTCTTGGGGAGGAGCAAAGCCAACGGCTCGCACGCAGAGGGGCC